CGGGGAGGGGGCGCTAGGCCCGGAGCCGCAGCGCGGGAGGGACGAGGCCGGGCCGGGCGGGGGGAGGGGAGCGGCAGGCGTCTTTGTTGTTGGCGACCCGGATCCCTCGCGGCGCCTGGAAAGGCGGGGAAGCCACTTCCGATCGGGTCTGTATTTGTGAGAGGACTCTGGTGGTTCCGTGAAGGGGGCGGTAAGAAGGACCCTGCGGTCTGTGAGGTGGCTGGAGTCTGCGGGCGGGGGACGGACCGACACCCCGGGAAAGGTCTCGGGTCCTCCTCTCAGGGAGGGGTCTCGTTTCACGTTCTTTGCTTTTCTTCCAGTGGGTGGACAGAGAGATGGGTCAGGTTCACATTGCCATCCCGGGCTCACCGTGACATTCGCGGGTGCCCAGAATCTTTCTCCTGAATGTCCTCATCTCTGCCAGCCTAGAATTTAGATCGAGTCCGCACCGAGCTTAGTAATTTGTGTATCCGGCCGGGCCGTCGTAGGGTTCTTTATCTTTATGTGGTTGAACTTTCATAGTACCTGTCTTTGAACTCTAGGGTAGGGTCCATCAGGAATCGCTTCTGAATTGGAAAATTAGACTTTTCGTTTGGAATTTTATTTAACCCCGAAACAAGAAGGTTGTTTCAGATTGTACTGTGGAGGGCTTTTGTAAAGGAGAGTGTTTAACCTCAGCTTCTGGGAGCTTTTGTTGTTGTTAGGGAAAAAATTTGTTCAGAGCTTTGATGTATAGTGGATTTCTACCAATTCTAGAACAGAATTTTTTAAGACGATGCTCTGATTTAAGTGACTGTGGGGTAGATTTGGTGAGCAAAGGATTAATAACGGAATACGGAGTGTGACCTTTAAGTTCTAGCTGTTAGTTACAAAGGTGTTCCTGTTTAATACTTTTTGTGATACATCATGCTTGATCCATAAGATGATTCATTGATTTTTTTTTTTAAAGCCTTCAATAAGTAAAAAGAATTTTGGAGGTCTTATGTCAACATTTGAAACTACCTAGTGAGTCTGAATAGAAAATCAGGTAGGTATTGTAATAACGTTCATATGTTAACGTTAATAGGGAGAGTTACAAAAAATGAACGTTTCTCCGTAGCTTGTCTCTTCATATGTTTATAGCATGAACTCAGTTGGAGGACATCTAATCATAGCCAATATTTTGATAATTATTACAATCGCCATTGTTCTAATTTGGGACCGCCCACCTCCTTGCTTGTTGGTGAGTTATTTGGGGAGTAGGGCTAGTGGCATTACCTAGGGAACAGTGGAGGTAATTGTGTTTCAACTTTTAAAAGATACAAGATCTCTGTCTGGCAATAATTTGTTTATACTATTTGAGACCCGGGAGGAAATTAATAGCACCCTCATCGGTATTTTGACCTCTCTATTCTCCTACTGTAGTATTAATAAGGTTAATTGGCAAGGACAGGATTAGATTTTTAGCAGGCTAGGCAGTTTTAATTTTGTCCCTTGGTGTACAGTACTCTAGTTGATTAGTGGCTTGTTTCCTTGAGGATCTTTGCCCATTTAAAATGTGTATGAAATGACAGCTAGCAAAGAATTTTCTATTTGCTGGGACAAACAAAATCACCATAAAGTGTCATGGCAAAATAATGTTTTTAATAGCTTAATGATAACAGAAGAACTAGTCAATTAGTTTCTGTTCCAAGTTCTGTCACTGAATTGGTCTACAACTCCAGGCACGCTAGCCCACATCTGAGTCAATTTCTCCATCTGTAATGTAGAGCTAATAAAATAAGCCACCTCCTCACTTTATAGGAATGGTAGTGAGAACCATATAAGCAACAGTTCACTCTGGTTACGTGACACCGATTTAAGTTAAATAAGAATACTTTTTAATGCAATACTCCTGTTTTGGTATTATGAGTTTCAGTTCTTTGAAGAATTAGCATAAAGAAGCATGATTATAGTAGGGAGAATTCCTATCCATGTGCCATCATTTAAGAACTGATAAACTGAAATTTTCTTCCATGTTAAATCTTTAGAGTCAGTGACAATAGAATTTACTGAATAAGTTGGTTTATTTACTGGTAGATTTTATTGCTAATCTATCCAAGCAAGGCTTTGCTCTTAATTCTCAAAATTACTCCTACCTTTCTTACCCTTTTAAAAATATTTCACATACATTGCCCCATTTGCCTCTCAAATCCAGCATTGTGAGTTGGAGAAGAAAAGTGATATTATGACATTTTTACAGATGAAATAAATGAGGGCCAAAGAGGTTAATTATTAAAATCGCCTAACAATTAGTAAGAAGCAGAACTGAGACTTGAACCTGGGTATTCTGATTACTAATCCTGAGTCCTTTGCTTTGGAGCAGTGTTTTACAAACACCTGTCTATGCCCAACAGTTTTGTCAATCCAGATAAAATGAGAAATAATATAGCAATGTAAGTATTGGTAACACACAATATAATGATTATCCATGTGTCCCTGACCCAGTGGAAGAAATAAGACTACAAATCAAAATGAAGTTTGCTCTGTATCTTGTATACTCCTAAGACCTATTTCCTTGTTCCCCAACTCATACCATAACCTAAAATTGGCATGCATCCTTCCTATATCTGTGTGTTTATACTTAACTACATAACTTTATATCTATGAACATTATACGAGCGTACTTCCAAAAGTTCACAGGAAAATAGGATGGAAAGACAGTGCGAATCTTTTCCGTGAACTTTTGGAAGTATCCTCTATAGTTTTGTTTTGTTTCCTATTGTTTGCTGTTAAACAGAGCAACAGGGAATATTCTTGTTTGTTTACTTAGGTACTTGTGCAGGACTTCTAGGGTTAGGGCATTGGTTCTTAATCCTACGTCCCATTTTTATAGAAAATATGTTGCAATTTCTTTAATACTATCCTATTGAAGTTCATAATAATAAACCTATGTTCATATTTTAGAGAAAGCAGTGCCCTTACTAAAATATAAGAAGAATTTGCATTTCACTATGTAAATACTTGAGCTCAAGACTAAAGTCAAGTCTTGCTGCCAAGTATGATGGTAGCCACCAACATCAGAATCACCTGGGAGCTTGTTAGAAATGCAGAGCCTCAAACCCTATCTCACTGACTCATGCTGTAGTTTGACAATATTCCCAGGTGGTTTGTGTCCACATTAAAGTCTAAGAAGCACTGCTAGAAGAAATAGTAGTAGAAAATTTGCACAATGGATAGTATCACCATCAATACAACAGCTACTCCTGTAGATTGAAACAGGTATGTTGAATTGGCCATTTGAATACCAATAATGGCACTGTTGTTGGAAAATGATTTTTTTGAAGTAACGAACTATTCTCAGTAAAGTTTGAACAAAAGTAAAAGTGTAATCTTGCTCTTTGCACAGTGGTTGCACTCTTAAAAATCTTCATCTGTTTTAAAACATAGATGTTAAAGTATACTTTGTGTTAAATCCTGTTTAGAAGTATCTGACCTTAGCCATTTGTGGAGTTTTTCCCCCTCCCCCCTTCCCCTGTATAGAGGGAGGAAAAATAAATGTCCAGCAAAATAAATGCTCAGAAGTCATGGGACATAGAACATTATTATCTTTATGCAGGAAGAGTGTCTGGCATCCCGGGCCTCTATTTAGTAGTGCCCCTCATTCACTATAACAGCCAAAAACTGTCATTGGGAAAGATTGTCCTGGTATATAAATCCAAGATTGCTAGACTACAGGGTATGAGCTGCTTCAGCTATATTAGATAAATGCCAGTTTTCTCTACAA